AGTAGTAGTAGTAGTAGTAGTAGTAGTAGTAGTAGTAGTAGTAGAAGTAATAGTGGTAGTAGGAGTAATAGTAATAGTAGTAGTAGTAGTAGTAGTAGAAGAAGAAGAAGAAGGAAAAGAAGAAAAAAGCATTTAAGTAGCATTTTGAGATTTACAAAGTGTTCTACATACATTATTTCATTTCTTCCTCATAACACTTGTGAGATAATGTTATTATTATATCCATTTTATAACTGAAGAAACTAAAGCTCAAAGAGGCTATTATTGCTTAGTCATACAGCTAGTAAGGGTCCAAGGTAGGATTTGAAGCTAGGTCTCTTGATTCCAGGTCTAGAAGTAATGTTTTCACCTTCCTCACAATAGCCCTTCTGAGGTCAGTAATGTAAATATCATTATATCCATTTTACAGATAAGGAAACTGGCATTCAGAGGAGTCACCATTAAATTGTCGGTACACGGCAGAACCAGGACTGAAACACAGGTCTTCTGGGTCCAAGACCAGTGCTCAGTCTTCTGTGACACCATGCCTTGCCTCTCTCCCTATCACTCTTTCTTTCCCTCCCTTCATCATCCATCCCACCTTTCCTACTTTATTTCATATTATTCCCCTCTACATACTTTATGGTCCAGCCAAACCAGTCTATTCTCTGTATGGACCTCTGCCCCAACACATGTACACATACTCATACCTTTGTACCTTTCTCACATTTTTCCTTATGCCTCCAATATCCTTCCTCTTCTTCACCAGCCTTTAAAACACAGCTCAAATGTTGCCTTCCCTTGACTGTTCCAGTCCTAAGAATCTCACGAACCACCTTGTTTTATAATTCTCTAATGCATTACCAGGGGGGCAGTTAAGTGGTGCAGCAGATAGCATGCTGGGCCTGGAGTCAGGAAGACCCATCTTCCTGAGTTTAAATTCAGTCTTAGATGTTTCTTAGCTCTGTGGCCCTGGCGAGCGATTTAAACTTGTTTGCTTCAGTTTCCTCATCTGTAAAATGAGCTGGAGAAGGAAATGGTAAATCATCCCAGTCTCTTTGCCAAGAAGACCCCAAATAGGGTCACAGAGTTTGACATGACTGAAAAATGACTGAACAGCAATAATGCACTGTCATGTAATATTGTATACTCTACTTCATGTTTGTGTCTTATCCCACTGCTAGCTGTAAGCTGTATGAAGGCAGGGATAGTGTCTTATCTAGACTTTGTATCTCTCTAGCACTAAGCACAATGTCTTGCACCAGAGTAGGAAATTTCTAAATGTTTGTTGAATGAAGGAATCTTTTCCTTTAGCTCCGTCCCTCTACAAGTCAAATACAGCTACAATTACAACAACAAACAGGCTAAAATGACTTCTTTTGGGGAAAGATGAGTTTGAATTAGTGAGATATCTGAAGTAAAGAGTATTTTTTTTAAAAAGGAAATGCATTTATTACTTTTAAAGTACATACAGTGACTCAAACTAAAGGCTAACAAAGGTTCCCCAAGTCTCTTGGTACTTTTTTTAATGAATAGATAAAAATCATTTGTAATTAGCACATTCAGAGTAATTCATTGTAAATAAATGCTCCTAAGTGGCTATAATTTGCTTTGACTACTAAATATGCCCCCCAATAATCCTATTTATGCCATTATTTAATTTAAATTATCTAATTCCTTTTTATTTTTTCATAGGTAATGAAAAGACTTTTGTCCAAATTTTCATGAATTCCAAACTAGTAGGGTTCAAATTAAAGTGGTTTTCTACAAACAAGATTTTCAAGCCCCAGCCAACTGCTGTTGTTTGTTTTTGTTTTTGTTTTTTTAAGTATTATCTGGTGCAACTCAAGAATATGGACAATCAATTGGGATTTTGTTATGAGATTTGCTCTACATCTGTTTCTCTTCCTTACCTATTAATTTTTACCCCTTTGTAGCCATCTTTCTCTCCCTTTTCCCTTTGTTCTCCCTCTCTCTCTCACTTGCTCAATGCTTTTGAGTCTTTCTATAGGGCATAGCTTTTGTTCCTTGAGCTACAGCTGGACAAAAAGGATGAAAATGCCCAAAGGATGAAAGTGCTAGGTTAGCAGTAGTGGGGGAAAGGAGTTCAATTACCATAGGGACCAGAGGGTGATCCCTCCATTTCAGGGAGATTGTGTAATGTTTGATGAGTGCTCAGACTATGTGAAGGTCATTTGGTCAGAAATTGCCTTGCATTCCTAGACACCAAAGGGCATTCTTAAAGCAGTGGTTTTACCCCTCTTTGTATAAATACTCTGAACCAAGGTGATACACTAAACCTGCCTTGGACTGTCAAGTATTTGGGACCACAATTGTATTCTGAAAATCTGGGCTCTTTCTTTCTTGAGGGCTATGTTGACCTGGAATGCTAGGCACATTTACTGTGACAGGACATGAATGCTCTCAAAGGGGCTCAAGGACTAGTGACCTTGTAGGATTTTTCTTCCACATGATTAGGAGGATCTAGATGACTCAGCATCCCACCCCAAAGAGCAAAAGGAGAAGCTGGAGTTCCCCTTGTATTCATTGGGAACACCTGGCTCATGGTGTGGCATTACCTGCCACAACTCTTTCAAAAATTAGAATCTGGATGTCTGCTGATTGGGTTCCTGCCCTCTTCTACAATAGGGACACAGATCTAGGACAAGGCTTATTGATAAAATTGTCAAAATGCTCCAAAAGCCACTGTCACTATCCCTCTTCAGTCTGTCTCCTTGTCTGTTTCTTTCATCAATTGATGGCTAATCCTATTCCTACACTGTCTCCTAGATTCCCTTTTTGGTTCCTCCCTTTCTTTTGCTCTCTATTTGGCCTTGTCTCTGAATTAGAGCATTTCTTTCTGTTTCACACTGTTCCCAACTTGTGGAGTCCCTACAGGGAAGACTTATTCTCAGGTTCCTGTTTCACAGACTCCTGTTTCTCACTAGCAGAAGTAGATGGTGATTTTGAGGTCTGGCCCAGGGAAGCGGGGATCACTGGGGACAGAGTTGGATGGAGAGAAAATGAACAGGTGGTAACAGAGAATGGAGTGTGTTGAGATAACACAGTGGTTCTAGGTCCTTGAGGACCTCAACAATCTTCTCTTCTCTCAAGCCTGAGCACCCTCAGACTCATATCTGCCATTACAACCTGATCTCTACTGGGAGTTATGGAGGGCTGGAATGATTCCAAGCCTCCATGAAGAGTAGAAGTGATGAACACAGTAAGGGTAGGATCTGGGGAGGGGATCCCAACATTTAGTGTCTAAACTGATTTTTCACAGTTAGGTCTACAGGGCAATCACCCTAAACCCCATTCCTACCCTACCTTAGCCCAAACTTCAGTTGGCTGGGCTGACCCCCCACCTCCCCATAACCCTCCCACAACTTTGTCTCAGATGTACCCACCCTTTCCCACCCAACAACAGGGCACCCCTATCTGTTTGGTGCCTGGTTCATCCTCTGCTCAGCTCAGTAGTATGTCTCCTTTTCCACCCAGCCTGTTGGAGAGAGAAGTTCAGAGTGAGGGAGAAGATCAATGGAATTCTGAGGGACTCAGAACAGCGATGGCTATATAGAAAGGACCTTGGAAGGTGGGGGCAGCAAAGGACTGGAAGTAACAAGGGGAGAAAAGAAGGAGGTGGGAGGGAAGAGAAGGTCATAGATATTAAGGACTGGGCAGGAGAATAAGATGGGGGCTAGATATAAATAGGATATAAAAATATAGATATAAATAGGATGGAGGGAAAACTTTGTATCTGACACAGGGTAAAGAACATCTAAGGTACCCATAAACATTTGTTGGTTGATTGAAAATCAGGTGGAGATTGGAGGGACTGAAAGGCTGTAATTACAGGTGAGGGATAGATTAGAAGTCTATAAGCAACAGGGATCATAGGATGATAGATATGGAGCCCAAAGGGATGTTAGAAACCATTGAGTACAACCCCCTCATTTCAAGGATAAGGAACCTGAGTCCATGAGAGATGAAATGATTTGACCAGGGTTGAACATCTAAGTGTCAGAGGTAAGAGTAGACTTCAGGTCTAGCCCTTCATCAATTATACAACTCAGGGGAAGAATATTGACCACCAGAGGCCAGGATTTCAGGCCCTAAGGCCTAGAAAGAGAACAGCGCCCCAAACTCTCTGGAAGTCCAGGGTCTGAGGGCACTGAAAGTCAGTGGCAGGCATCTGGATTTTGGGATGTGGTTAGGGTATTGGGAGACCAGCTGGGTTGCTGAGGCTAGGGGAAACTCACCACCAGGATAGCGCCGCAGGATGAGTTTTCGGACCTCATCATAGATGAAGATAAGGAGACTATAGGGGACAGCACAGAACCACCATGTGACCCTGTAAAGAATGGGGGAGAAAGTGGGATCAGAATATGGAGTGAAGACATAGAAATGGGTAAAGAGAGACACCCAGAGCAATCCAGGCTATGATTACAGGAACAACCCCCCACCCCAACACCACCCACATTCCCTCTGCTTCTGTGTAGAGGGCTGCCTCATCCCCTCCTCCTGGGTACTCACTTGAGTGGGTACATTCGTAGGGCCACGCCCATGCCTGGGCAGTAGGACAAAAAGGCGGCCAGAGCCGTCTCTTCCAGCAGCCCAAAGATCAAAATCTTGTTTCTAGCAAAGAAAAGGATAGTTAGAGGAGAACCTTCCTTTCCAGTCTCAGTGACTTCAAGTGCTTACTCACAGTCATCCTCTTCAGCCTGACTTCACAGCAATTCTTTTAATTCATCTCTTACCGATTCCCTAGCACCCTCCCCACAGCAGCTGTTCAACACCTTCTCCTCTCCTCAGGATCATCACTCTACCCTCTCTCTCTCTCTCTCTCTCTTTCAGCAGATGACCTCACCTCTTATTTTACTGAGAAGATTGAGGCCATTCCTTAAGAAGTCTCTCTTCTCCCTTCCTACATCCCTTGCTATATCTTTACCCACCCTTGTCTACTCTGATCCAACCTCAAGGGTTGAGGTGGCTCTTCTCTTTTTCAAAGGTGAACTTCACCATTTGCACTCAGGATCCCATCCCTTACTGCCTATATAACTTCCTCAGCAATCATACTCTTTCTGGCTCTCTCACTTTCATCTTCAGGTCCTCCTTTTCTACTGGCCCCTTCCTCATTGTCTACAAACAAACAAACATGCCTCTTCTAACATTTTTTTGGGCAAATCACTTAACCCCAATTGCCTCCCAGCACCTCTTAACCCTGCCATCTCCTCAAGATATCATCTGAGATCCCTCCTACCTTTCACTCTTAAATCGCTTTACTGAGAAAATGGAGACTTTTCACAGTGAGCTCCCTCTTCTCCCCTTCTCTACCTACTACAACCTCTTGACACCATGGCTCACTCCTTTATCCTTTACTCTAATCTCTGTGGCCCTTCTGTTCAACAAAGCCAACTCCCTACATGTACCCTTGATCTCATCCCATCCCATCTTCTCTGGCATATTGCCTATACAACTATTCTCTCTCTGTCTTTCCTCCTTCTCTCTTTTTTGTCTCCCTCCTTTCCTCTCTCTTTCTCTGTCTCTGTCTCCTCTCTCTATGTCTTTCTCCTTTCTCTCCCTCCCCTCCCTCCTCTTTCTCTCTGTCTCTCCTTTCCTCTTTCTTTCTCTCTCCTTCCTCCTTTCTTTCTCTCCCTCCTTCTCTCTCTCTTTCTTTCTCTTTCTGTCTCTTTCCCTCTCTCTCCAGTCTCTTTGTATTTACTAGGTCATTCCCTTAATGAACTCTAAATTCCAGCACTTACGGTCCACCAAAACTTGATGCCCTCTATCTCCCCATATATTCATGCAGGTTACCCTCCATGTTGAGTAAGCACTTTCTTCTTCCTCTCCTACTTTCATAATCTTTCTTTTCCTTCAAGGCTATGCTGAGGAGCCACCTTCTCAATGACATCTTTTCTGATCCCTCCAGCTGAAAATGAGCTCTTGCTTCTCACATTTTCCTTGAACATTTTGTCTGAATCTCACACTTCCATCACACCCAACCTTGTTCCTGGATATGTTATATCCCTCCCCCTCTTCTCCTCCCTCTACCTAACTCCTTAAGGTCAAGGACTATATCATTTGTAATCTTTGTTTCTTCAAAGCCTAGCACAGTGCCTTGATGTAGCAGCCACTAAAATATTTATTGAATTTGTAAGAGAAAGTGAAATGTTTCTAAGAGACATATTCTTTTCCCCTTCTCATCTGCCCCCTATAACTGAAGAATATTTTCATTTTGCCTTCTTTTAATCTTCCTGAATTTCACCAGAAGCTTAGTACTTTATTATATATTGTCTTATTTTACTCTCTTATCATGTCTTGTTCCATAGATAGTTCTGGAAGCTCTCTGGGCTAGAGACCATGACCAATGACCATGTCTCTGTTCCCTGACCATAAGGGTTATATAAGTAACATGAGTCAAGTCTGCTATCTAGGGTCCATCTGGAAAAGGTTTTGATTTTCACTTGGGCAAGTAACTTTCTCTCTCTGAGACTTGATTTCCTTATCTGTAACACAAAAGGGGCAGTATTAAATGATCTCTAAGGTCCTTTCCAGAGCTAACTTTCTATGTGTTATTGTTGTTGTTGTTTTTAAGTAGAGTAAGGGAAGAGAAATGAACAGAAGGGGTGGGAAGAAGGGATAAGAGTGGCACTCTCCAGAGATCTGTACCCACCCAGCATCAGGAAACAGAATTAAAGTTGCCAAATTTCTTCTCCTCCTCCTCCTCCTCCCCACCTCCAAGCAATACCATGGATAGAGCTGAGTAATTAAAATCTTATCCTGATCCCAACAGAGGATGGTGGGGTAACTCATAGTCAGGGTGGATCAGGGTTGTAAGATCATGCCAAGACTGGGGGAGCTGAAATGGGCTTTGTGGTGGGAAGCTCACTTCATGCCCTGCTGGAAGACAGAATTACGGCGGGTCTTGCAGATGATGAGGTCAGCCCATTGTACAACTACGATGCTGGCAAAGAAAGCTGTGTGACACGTGAACTCCACCACCTTCCGCTGCTCATAGGTCTGAAGAAAGGGCACAGAAAGGGTTAGAGTGAGAGGGGAAGGTATGGTCAGAGAAGAGAGAGTAGGATTACAGAAGGTAAGGTCTGAAGAGGGAATAGTGAGTCCAGGTATAGAGATGGATGGAGTCAGAAGAAAAGATGGAGTCAGAGAAGAGGTCAGGGAGAAGAAAGAAGAATGTTATCAGGGAGAGTGTAGTCATAGGAGATAGTTCAGTCAGAAAGGAAGGATTAGTCAGAAAGGAGGGTCAAGTGGAAGAGGGAAGGGCTCTGTCAGGAAGGAAAGGTTAGTCAAAAAGAAGGTTGGCATCAGAAGAGGGAGTTAGGCAGCAGAATGGAGACAGAGAGGAGGATGGAGTCAAGAATTAGGATCAGAATGAGGAGAGACCAAGGAAAAAGCCACGTCAAGGGAATACCTGTTCAAACCACCAGTAACCACCCAGTGTCACTCAAAGCTCTCACCTCCTGATAGCTTTTGCTGCTTTGTCACTCACCCACTCCTGTCCATAGCTATCCTCCAGGTCATTCTTGGAGCGATCATCCCAATCGAGTCGGATTCCCAGGAGTCGGGAGGGCAGGAAACCATTCTCCGCCAGGATCACAAAGTAGGTAAAAAAGCCACCCAGTGCCTGGATCATCCCTGTGAGTGGTGAGGGCCACAGTTAGAGAAGGAAACAAGACACAACCTCCTCATATATTCGTGCAGGCCACCCTCCACGTTGAGTATGCACTTTCTTCCTCCTCTCCCACTTTCAGAATCTTTCTTTTCCTTCAAGGCTATGCTGAAGCGCCACCTTCTCAATGACATCTTTCCTGATCCCTCCAGCTGAAAATGAGAAGGGCAGGTTCAGCACAGAATTGGGTCCTGTTTTGAGCTGATTTTGAGAGCTTAACTTTCTCAAATGTTGGGAAACAGCCAGAGCTGCACAGTAGAAAGAGCACCGGTGCTGTAGTCAGAAGACTTGGGTTCAAATCCTGCATCTGACATTACCTGTGTGACCATGGCCAAGACCCTTAACCTTCATGGTCTCAGTTTCCTTAGCTGCAAAATAAGGTTGGACCAGATGGGCTCTGAGGTCCCTTCCAAAGACCTATGACCCTGTGACACTCTAATCCCGCTCTGAGGCAATGAGTGCCCTCGAACCTCACCAATTTGACCATAGGCCATACTGATGAGCCTCTCATTCACCAGCTTGTCCGTCTGTGGATTCCGAGGCTGGCGTTTCATGATGTCACTTTCAGCTGCCTCATAGGCCAAGGAGATAGCTGGTACCTGGAGTAGGGAATGGATAAAGCTGAATGGAGAAGAAAGGGGGTGTAAGGGTGGGGAGGAGATAGGAATTCAATTCAACCAACTTTTATTAAGTGCCTCCTATATACAAAACACTATGCTAGGCATTGGGGGATTATATGAAGTTTAGATGAGCAGGGTTCTTGCCCTTATTGAGCTCATAGTCTGGTAGATTCAATAATATTAATAATTCCTGTGGAATTTTAAGACTGATGAAGAGATATGAAGCAATTTCGAGGTAAAATTCTTAGACTAAGTATGCTTTCTACCAGACAGGAGTTATAGTTAGGGCAGTTAGTTGCCCTAGGTTCCACCCACCCCCCACCTTCACATCCTGTTTTCCCCCAGCCACATCTCTGGACTTACCATATCAGTGCCCAGATCAATGCAAAGGATTGTCACAGTGCCCAGAGGCAAGGGAATGTTGGCAATGATAAAGAGCAGGAAAGGGGTGATCTCTGGGATATTACTGGTCAGAGTGTAGGCAATGGACTTCTTCAGGTTGTCAAAGATCAGGCGGCCTGTGGGTAGGTCCTTAGAGCATCAGGGACATCAGAGGGACCACCCCTCCCACTCATACCACTCCCTGAAGTAGGCCAGACCCTTGGATTGTAGTCTAATAGTCAATGAGGAAACAAGAGGACATTGAGAAGAGGCCTGCATAAGACCTGGGTCAGCAGAGTGTGAGTAAGAGAAAAAAAGACTGTCAATGACCATGTCTCTGGTTCTGTGTCTCTATTTTCCCTATGTGCCTCATGTTTTCTATTGATCTCCTGAAAGAGAGAAACCTTGAAGCTGAGGAGAGCCAAGGCAGGTTCTGGAGTAATTAGCTACTTGAACTACTGGATATATATGATATAGTGAAAAGAACACTGGATTTCAAGTCAGAAGTCCTAGGTTCCAGTTCTAGCTCTGCTTTTTTTATTTTTACCACTTATGGTACTTCAGACATTTGACTTCTTGGGGTCTCAGTTTCCTCATCTGTAAAATGAGGAGATTGGACAAAACTTCTGAGGTCTCTCCCAGGTCCAAATCTTATCTATACTATAATCCCACAATCCTGGCTGAAAGAGCAGAGGATTTAAACTGGAATGAAATGTCAGGAAGCAGATAGTCCGAGGAGAATAGGAATCTAGCCTTCCACCCTTCCCTCTAGCCTTGGGTATGAGATCTTAGTGAAGAATGTTTTCCTGATGGTTGTTTGGCATCGGACTCAACTGAAGTAAATGTGCCAAGAATGAACTGGAGAGCAGCCATGGGCAGCCTACTCACCCTCCTCCACGCCAGTGACAATGGAGGCAAAGTTATCATCTAGCAAGATCATATCAGCTGCCTGCTTGGAGACATCAGAGCCAGAGATCCCCATGGCAATGCCAATGTCAGCCTTCTTCAGTGCAGGGGAATCATTCACACCATCACCGGTCACCGCCACGATGGCGCCCTGAGGAGAAAACACCATCAGAGGCAGAGGCTCTACCGAGCCTCAGGATCCCAGAGTCAGAAGGAACTTGAGAGTTCATCTAATCTAACCTGTCTTGTAACAAGAATCATGGGAGCAGATATTTAGAGCTGGACAGGATCTTGGAGGCTAAGTCCAACCCCCATCCTACCAAGAGGAAAATGAGGCACACAGGTCTTTCTGACTTCAAATTCAATGTCCTCTCCACTACACACCATGTTAGCTCTCTACAATCTCTCCTATCACATCCCAACAAAGGGCTTGTTTGAAGAACTCCAGTCATGAGGAATTCACTTCCTCTCAAGGTAGCCCGTTCTGTTTTTTAAAGTTCTAATTTGGACAATTTAGACGGATACGATACTTCAGTGTGCCTTGTGCCTATTACTACAGGTTCTGTTCTCGGTGACCACGCAGAACAAGTTTGATCTCTCTTTCAAATACTTGAAGAATGCTATGATGGTTCTGCTTCATCACTTGTCCTGGAGAGGCATCATGGTCCCTCCTCCTGGTTATCCCCTTCACAGTTCCCTGTCTCCTGGGCCTGCTTCCCCCATCTTATATACTCGTGTCTGACAGGACTTCTATTCATCCTCGATAGCCCGAAAGTCTACCCTGTCTCACCGCATTCAACTTTCCCACCTGTCTTTGACATCCCTCCACAATGATGAGCTTCTGCTGTGGAGAAGTCCGAGCAAAGACGATCTCTGTGTGGTTCTTAAGGATTTCATCCAGCTGCTCTGATGTCATGTCCTTCAGGTCAGACCCATGGACCACACAGGCCTTGGCTTCCCTGGATTGGTTAGGGAACAACACACAATTTGGCTGACTTTTCTCCCCACCCCCCAGACTTTAGCTCCCTTCCTCCCTCGGTTCTCATGTCCTGCTATTCTCTGGGATTCAGTTTTTTTAAATTTCCTTTCAGGGACTGTCCTTTGGGGAAGGAGCAAGTGCCCACCAAGAAGACTCAAAACTTCAGCATGAAGGGACTAAGGCAGTCAAAGCAAGTCACTCATTAGGCCAGACATAGGCGCTTTAGAGGTCGTAGGGATGTGTACTATAAGCCCCACAGCGGGGTCCTCAATTCTGAGCAGTAATATAGGATGGGAGCGGTATCCACCCAGAGTAGCAGATAAAGATGGCATTTGGTCAGGGGTAATGGCATGCTGGTAAATGTTTAACAATGGGCTTTCCAGGAGAAAAAAATATATGCAGACCATACTTTTAAGTTTAATCTGCACATTTTCTCCAACACTTTCTTATGTCTAGACAATCAACAAAACAAAAAATCAAGCCCTGATTTGTAATGTTTATCACTTTCCAAGGTGTGAGTGTTCACAGTGGAAATATAACACATCGCCCTCAGTTCAGCCATTTCTAGCATATCCTTGGTCAGGGGCGTCCAACAGGGGCCTCACCTGGGATTGACCTGGCTGAGAGGAATATTTAGCCGGGCAGCAATGTCCTCTACTGTCTCATTCCCCTCTGAGATGATGCCCACACCCTTGGCAATAGCTTTTGCTGTGATAGGATGGTCCCCAGTCACCATGATCACCTAGAAGGAGAAGAAAGAAGAGATAGGAAGATGCTATCAAACCTCACTTGAGTCCCAAAAGAGGAGGCTCAAGGGAGGGAACAGAGGAGCACCATAGTAAGGCGGAGTCTACTCTGGTTCCCATCACTTACTAGACATGACCGTGGTGGCCCTGTATGATAGGAAAAATACTGAAATGGCAGTCAGGAGACCTGAGTTATAATCCAGACTGATGTTCACTGGCTGTATGACGCTGGGCAAGGTAGTACCCCTTAGAGGCCTTAATTTCTTTATCCTTAAGATGAGTGAATTGGACAAGATCATCTCTAAGGACTTGCTTGTTCTTAAAGTCGATGTACTTTGAAGTTTAAAGTGAAGGGTGGTGTTAATGATTATGGAACCTGCTGGCTGCCTGTAACCCATAGCACTCCCAAGAGTAGCAGGAACCAAATTAAAATATAATTGGGAAATATTTAATAAAAGAAATAAAAACACAATAGAGCATAGGTAATCTCACATTTTAAAATTAAGTCAGGGATCATCTAGGTGGCACAGTGAATAGAGTGACAGGACTGGAGTCAGGAGGACCTAAGTTCAAATTTGGCCTCAGACAATTACTAGCTGTGTGGCCCTGGGCAAGTCACTTAACCCTGACTGCCTGAAAAAAAAAGTCCCCCAAATCTAAGTCAGTCCACAGGATCTTTGTGTAAAGGTTAGTGGCCCTCACTGAGTTTGATACCATTGCTATAGCGGTTAGAGAGAACAGGCCTTGCAGCCAGGAAGATGTGAGTTTAAGTTCTGCTTCTTACATTCACTGGCTATGTGACCCTGGGCAAGTCCATTGACTTCTCAGCACCCTCAGGCAACCCTCCAAGACTATAATTGTAGAACAGTTGCTAATCAGTCTCACTAGAGAGTGTTCCCTGATAGGGAAATGTGGGGCAATGTGGGGCAGCTAGGTAACACCATAGTGCACAGAGCCCTGGGCCTGGAGTTAGGAAAAGTCATCTTCCTGAGTTCAAATCTGACCTCAGACCCTTACTAGCTGTGTGATCCTGGGCAAGCCACTTAACCCTGTTTGCCTCTGTTTCCTCATCTGCAAAACGAGCTGGAGAAGGAAATGGTAAACCACTCCAGTATCTTTGCTAAGAAAATCCTAAACAGAGTCATGAAGACATGATTGAAAACACCTCAACAACAACAACAACATACTAATGAAATAAGAAGGGCCAGTCCTGTCCTGCTCCTCCTCCACACCACAAAAACCTTAAAAGTTTACAAAGCACCTTCCTTATAAGCCTGCAAGGTCAAGAGCATAAATATTAACATCGTCATTGAACACATGACAAAACCAAAGCTCAGAGAGATCATACAGCCAGACATGTCAGAGCTAGCACTCAAACCTGGGTCTCTCCCGTCTCTCATTCCAGTGCTTTCTTCACAGAAATACCCACTCATCCCACCCCCTCACATATACTTAAACATACATACACACCACATATACATACACCTAAACCCCCCCCCATAAACACTCACACACACACACACACACACACAGAGTTTCAGGGTTGCAAAGGACCACAGCAGTGATCTAGTCCAACCCATCCCTGCAAAAGAATTCCCTCTCTAATGTTGCTGAGAAGTGGTCATCCAGTCTTTGCTCAATGACCTCCAAAGACAGACAAACTACTTCTTCTCAGGGAAGTCCAGCCTACTTTTTAAAAATTATTATTATTTTTCCTTTTTAAAGTTTTATTAATGTGTTTTGTTTTTACATTACATTTACAGATTAAGAAGAAATCCTGCCAAATCCCTTCTATGACACAGATATGGTCTTAATATATAAACCAGGAAGAATCAAAACAGAAAAAGAAAACTGTAGACCAATGTCCCTAATGAACACAGATACAAAAATCTGAAATAAATTACTAGCAAAGAGGTTAAAACAAAGTACCATAAAGATTATATGCTATGACTAGATTGAATTTATACAAGAAACATAGAGTTGGCTTAATATAGGAAAAGCATAAACTTAATATTTAAGGAACAATTGCCATATTACACAAATTATTTGCAGAAATAGCCCCTTCTACTTTAGCATCAAGATGCATTTCCTTGACTCATGATGGAAAATGCTATCCACATCCAGAGAAAGAACTGATGGAGCCTGAATGCAGACTGAAGCATACTATTTTCATTTTGGGGGTTTTTTTAAAAAATGGTTTTCTTTCCTTTTTTCCTGTTTCTTCTTTCACAACATGACTAATGTGAAAATATATTTTACATTATTGCACATGTATAACCTATATCAGATTGCTTGCTGTCTTGGGGAAGGGGGAGAGGAGGGAAAGAGGGAGGGAGAAAAATTTGGAACTCAAAATCTTTCTAAAAATGGATGTTGAAATTGTCTTTACATGTAATTGGAAAAAATAAAATACTATAAATTTTCTTTAAAAGATATATTTCCTTACATCAAACCTAAATTTTCCTTATTGTTACTTCCACCAATTGCCCCCAATTCTTCCCTTTGGGGCCAAACAAAATAAGCCTAATTTCTCTTCTGTGTCAGCCCTTCAAATAATTGAAGACAACTATCATATTTCTTCTTCTGGTCTTCTCTTCTCTAGACAAAAAATCCCCTGTTCTTTTGACCTATGTTCATATGGCATGAAGTTATATGGGCCTTCACCATCATGGGTGCTATCCTCTGGACACTCTCCAATTTATCATAACATTCTAGTTGAAGTCTGACCAGGGTGGATGACAGTGGAACTATTTCCTTTATTCCTAGAGATATGGCTCTCTTAGTGCAGCCTAAGATCACAGTTTTTTGGCTGTTATATCACATAACTGACTCATGATGAGTTTGCAGTCCACTGAAATTCCTATTTTTTTTTTTAGATGAACTGTTATCTAACCATACCTCCCCTATCTTGTACTTGTGAAAATGGATTTTTTTGAATTCAAGTTTAAGATTTTTCTTTATCCCTATTATATTTCATCCTATTTGATTCAACCTAATGCTCTAGCCCAGGGGCCAGCAAACTACTGCCAGAGAGCCAAATCTGGCCTGCTGCCTGTTTTCGTGTGGCCTGCTAACTAAGTATGGTTTTTTTTTTGACATTTTTAAATACAATAAAACTTTATTTTAAAATGTAAAAACCATTCTTAGCTTGTGGATTGTACAAAAGTAGGCTTCTGGCAGCAATTTGCTTCTGTTCTAGCCTGTCAAAATTTTTTGGCCATAATAGATATGCCATCTGTTGTGTTTTCCAATTCTTCCAGTTTTGTGTTACCTGCAAATCTGATAAGCATGCTATATACACCTTTCTTTAAATCATAAGTAAAAATGTTAAGTAGCACAAGCTAAGCACAGATTGTAAAGGCCTCCTTCCAACAAAAATGGTGTGACAGTCTATTAAATACTTTGCTAAAACCTTTTCGGATATTTGTTGTTATTCAGTTTTTTTTCAGTCTTGTTTGACTCTTTGTGACCCCATCTGGGATTTTCTTGGCAAAGATACTGCAGTGGTTTGCCATTTCCTTCTTCAGCTCATTTTACAGATGAGGAAACTGAGGCAAACAAGGTAAAGTGACTTGTCTAGGGTCACACAGCTATTAAGTGTCTGAGGCTGGATTTGAACTCAAGAAGATGAGTCTTTCTGCCTTCAGGCCCTGCACTCTATCCAGTATTCCACCTGGATTCCATTTTTAGATATTCCCTACATCTGTATCTATAGCATTCCTCTGATTGACCAGTTTAGTAATACTGCCAAAAAAAAAAAAAGGAAATTACATTAGTCTGGCATGATTTATTCCTATTGAAACCACATTGACTCTTTGTGATCACTACTTCCTTTCCTAGTTATAGTTCACTAACCATCTCTTTAATAATACACCCTAAAATTATTTCAAGGATTTAATTCAAGTTCACTAGACTATAGTTTGGAGATTCCAGTCTTATTTTTAATTGTGATATTTGCCTTTCTCCAATACTGGGATACCTTTCTTATTCTCCATGATTTTCAAAATGTCACTGACAATCTCTCAATAATAATTAAGGGCAGCTTGGTGGTGCAGCAGATAGAGTGCCGGGACTGGAGTCAGGAAGACCTGAGTTCAAATCTGATCTCAGACATTTACTACCTTTGTGACCCTGGGCAAGTCACTTAACCCCATTTGCCTTAGTTTCTTCATCTGTAAAATGAGCTGGAGAAGAAAATGGCAAACCACTCCAATGTCTTTGCCAAGAAAATTCCAAGTGGGATCACGAAGAGTTGGCCAGACATGACTGAAAAATGACCAACAACAAAAGCTCAATGATCACACCTGCCAGATCTTTCCAAGAATGTAGTTCATCAGGGCCAAGTGATTTGGATTCATCGAGGAAGGAAGGAAACAACTATTAAGATCCTACTATGTGCCAGGCGCTGTGCTAAGTTCTTTACAAATAGTATTTCATTTGATCTAGGGTACCTAGGTGCTCTCTTACTATCTTTTTAAATATATTGGCTATCAGTTTCCTATTAGCCATTGTTGGTTTTGTTTTTCCTAGTCCAAAGATGATTCTTCTTGGCAAAGAAAATAAACGAAATGAAAACTGAGCAGCTCTGCCTTCTCTCTGCCAACAGTTATTATTGTCCCATCCATCTAGAACAGTGGCCCCATCCCTTCTTTAATCTTCCTCTTTTGCCCAATATAAATCAAATCCCTCTCTCCTTGCCCCTTTTTTTTGTCCTTAGCTTTCCTCACTGGCCTGAGTTCATTCTGGACTCTATTCATTTAGCACTCCTGATACTGACCTTAGAGTACTGTGACAGACTTGCTCATGCTTCTACTTTCTATACATATTCTTTAAAAATCTAGGTTGGTTGCTGAATTCCCTATGCACGCACATTAGTCTCTTCAGACAACTCCTCTTTTTCTTCACCAGAATTCTTTCTTTTTGTGTCTTCAGAATTTCATTCTTGAAAGCTTCCCTATACCTTCTGTGTTGATTTCCCTTGAGAAATTTTAGTTAATGGGATCCTAGCTATCTTTTCTCCCTTTGAAATATGTTCTTCCATAATGTAGGGTACATAACAGAACATCCCAGGCCTCCTTCTTCTTTTCTGTCACACACTCTAAGCTTGAGTGCTTACTGCTCCCAATGTCCCAAGGTTCCCAACATTTCTGCCCCAGCAACAAGTTCCTTCTTATTAGTGAGAATCAAATCTTCAATATATTTTCCCCTTTAAAAATTCCTCTACCTTTTGTCAAAGATGAAAATGTAATTAAGGCAAGTC